GAGAGAATAAATTCAGTTCCTCTAATCTTTCCTCATAGCTCATCTCCTCCATGCCTCTTATCAGTTTGGTTGCCCTTCTCTGTACTTTCTCCAGTTCCCTAATGTTATTTTTGTGAATTGGTGCCCAAAACTGAACTGCATATTCCAGATGAGGTCTTACTAATGATTTGTACAGGGGTAATATGATATCTCTCTCTGGAGTCTATACCTCTTAGTACAAGAGAGGATTTTGCTCGCTTTAGAAACTGCAGCTTGGCATTGCATGTCATTATTAAATTTGTGATCTACCAGAACCCCCAGATCCTTCTCCACCATTGATTCCCCCAGTTGTACTCCCCCCAGTATGTATGATGCATGCATATTCTTAGCCCCCAAGTGCATAATGTTAATTGAGAGAGTGAAGTTCCGCATTGACCACTTTGATACCGCGCTATAGCAGTATACATTTGGTTCCCTTGTTCTGGGAAGGCATCTATAAATGTTCTCCCAGAATGTGCCTCCCGTGTGCCCCCTGGGGCGCGTTCTGTGACCGCTGTGTCTCTTTTGGGCACAGCAGGTCACAGAATGTGGTAAAGGGCCAATCACAGCTGGGTCTAACAGATCATCTGGGTCTAATCACAGTGGATCAGGGCTATCGGCAGTCTTTTTCTCACACGCTGTGTCTGTGTAAGGAATAGACTGCATATACCCAGCAAAGTTATCAGCACTTTCTTTGCATTGATAATCAGGGCACTGATCATCAGTGCCCTAATGATCAGTGCAGCTTCTCCGTGCCAATCAGTGCCCATCAGTATGGCCTCATCAGTGTCCATCAATGCAAACTCTTCAGTGCTCATCAGTGCACACAAGTGAAGAAGAAATGTGACTTATTTGCAAAAAATAAAACCCAATAGTGATTAAATACCACCAAAAAAAGCTTTATCTATCTCAAATAAATTATAAAAATGCCACATAGGTACATTGTTGCATAACCGCGCATTTGTCTTTCAGACTGCATTCGCAATTGTGCAATTTGTCATATGACTTTGGACACTAAAGTTGCAGGACAAGTTGTACCCCATATTTTTCAACGACAACTGTTTGTATATATATACACAACTTAAGAGAGAAGCATGGGTTTCTATTTTTTTCCACCAGTTATACTTACCTAGGTGGATGCAGCATCGGTCCAATGCTACAGCTATGCCGTGCTGGCTTTAGGGGAAGAACTCCGCAATCCCATGACCGCTGATCACTGAGTTCTCACAGCCGCTCTGAGCAGAGAGCAGGACTGTCAATCACTGCTGTCTGCTCTGCCCCCCTAGTGCTCACTGGAGTGCTGGGCTGTGGAGGGGGAGGGAGTAGCTGGCTCAGGCTCTCAGTGGCACATTGAGAGGCTGAGCCAGGTGCTGCGCCAGACTCTGGGGTGGATTCTGACTTTAAAGTCGGGATCTTTCCCCAGACTGAACCGGCTGAGTGACATAAGCCGACAGTGGGCTTCAGCCTGCTGTCAGCTGAAAACGAGTCACAGGAGTGCAGGACAAACCCCACTCCTGTAATCCACAGAAGTGCAGCCAAGAGAGCTTTGGCTGTACTTCTCCTTTTAAGGTGCAGCGACTTTAAAGCGAAGTTCCAGTCCCCATACATTTTTTTTAAAAACAGCTCCCCCAAAATTATTACAACCTGCAGTTAAATATGATACTACTGTCAGGATTAAATCATGCTCGTTATTTAACCAATTCAATACCGGGCAATTTTACACCTTCCTGCCCAGACCATTTTTCAGGTTTCAGTGCTCTCACACTTTGAATGACAATTGCGCAGTTGTACAACATTGTACCCAAACTAAAATTTTATCATTTTCTTCACACAACTAGAGCTTTCTTTTGGTGGTATTTAATCATCACTGGGGTTTTTATTTTTTGCTAAATTAACAAAAAAAGACTGAAAATTTTGACAAAAAACACACTTTTCTTTGTTTCTGTTATAAAAGTTTGCAAATAAATAATTGTTCTTCATAAATTTAGGCCGAGATGTATTCTGCTACATGTCTTTGGTGAAAATAACCCAAATTAGGATGTATTTTTTAGTTTGTAGGAAAGTTATAGAGTTCACAAACTATGGTACAGATCTGAATACTGATCAATCCTGAAGTACTGACAGCCAATCTAATATCTTGAGGTCCAAGAATGTCAGAACAGTACAGATATCCCCCAAATGACCCCTTTTTGCAAAGTAGACAGTCCGATGTACTTCATAAGAGGCATGGCGAGTTTCTTTAAGTTGTATTTTTTTGTCATAATTTTTCGGAAAAATGAAAAAATAAAAAAAATTATTTTCACTATTTTTTTTAGATACTGTCACCAGTGCAGTACGGCGTCATCATATAACTGGCATGGCGGTGATCAGGGACACTGACTGGTGACAGTGTGTGAAAAAAAAATAAATATTTTTTTTAATTTTTTTATATTATTTTACATTTTTATTACATTTTTTTCTTTTTTTTAAGATTTTTTTTTTCATATTTCACTATGTCCAAAGTAGTACAATGTTACCATAGTAACATTGTACTACTTTGGGGAAGTGATCAGTATTTTTTTTTTTTTTTTACACAATTTGCTTATAGCAAAGAATTACTATAAGCAAGCATTTACCTGAATGACATCGATTCATTCAGGGTTTTTTTTTTTTGTGCTTAGCTGTGATTTGGCCACAGCTAATCACATGACATGTGCATGTGATTAGCTGTGACCATTCACAGCTAGACACTAGTATACAATGGATGGCATGAATGAAGCCATCCATTGTATACAACTGTCATGTGACCTGCTGTGATTGGTCACAGCAGGTCACATGGTACCGGCAATGGGGGGCCGGTACTCAGATCTGTCATCGACCAAGTCCGAGGTACACGGCTGGTGACAGATCGCGCCGCTGCGCGGCTCTGCAAGCGCGCGAACTGCACATGTGCGGGAGGATGCCATATGGCGGCCTCCCGGAAAGCTAGTACATTTTTCAGGACACCATATGGCTATTGGCCGGGCGTCAAATAGGTTAAATAATGTCATTTTTTTACATGGATCTTGGAAGCAGGCAGGTTCCATGATGGATGTGAGCATCTGAAGCCCCCTACTGTGCACTTCCTGGATTAGGTACTGCTGGCTATACCAGCATGCACCTCTCGATCTCGCTCATGCGCAGTAGGGACAGTGTGCAGCGCAAGTTGTTTAGAACAGATTTCCATAACAAAGGGAGTGATTTCCCTATTTAGAAATGGCCCTTGTCTCTGCCTGGAACTCGTCATTTCTGGTTTTGAAATAACGCGATGCTACAAGCGGGGGATGTTCATTGATTCCTGGGATTGCTGACTCATTGATCCCAGGTAACAATGGGTATCCGGAGAGATGACGTACCAGTCCGCGCCAAGGTACAACGGAAGTGCTGGCTAAATAAAGAAAAAAGGTATGTAAACCTTTACAAAAAAAAAAACTGAACTATATATGTACTACAATAAGGAACATTATGAAGTAAACTTGAAAAAACGGGTGGAACTCTACTTTAACCGCTTGCCCTCCTGAAGATTTACCCCCCTTCCTGACCAGGCCATTTTTTGTGTTAAGGCGCTGCGTTATTTTAACTGACAATTGCGCGGTCATGCAACGCTGCACCCAAATGCAATTTACATCCTTTTTTTCCCACAAATTGAAATTTCTTTTGGTGGCATTTGATCGCCTGTGCGCTTTTTATTTTTTGCGCTATAAGCAAAAAAAGACTGACAATTTTGAGAAAAAAAACAATATTTTGGACTTTGCTATTAAACATGTCCAGTAAAAAAAAAATGTAAAAAATTATATTTCATCATAAATTTAGGCCAAAATGTATTCTGCTACGTCTTTGCTAAAAAAAAATCCCAATAAGTGTAAACTAATTGGTTTACGTAAACGTTACTCAATTTTTTTTTTTACCAGTAATGGCGGTGGTCAGCGACTTTTAGCGGGACATTCTGACACTGGGGGGGAACTAACTTGGTATCACTGACATTCTCAGTGACACCAAAACAGTAATCAGTGCTAAAAAAAAAAAGCACTGATGCTGTACTAATGGTACTGGGCAGGAAGGGGTTAATTGGAGGGGCGATCAAAGGGTTAACTATGTGCTGGGAGTGTTTTACTAGGGAGTGGGGGGGGGTGTGCTTCACTCTAGGCACACTGATTGGGATGGCTGTGCTGTGCACAGCCATTCCGATCAGTGTGCTTGAGCTAACAGGGAGGAAGACTGTAAACAAAACAGTCTTCCTCCCCGTTGGTGATTGTCAGAAACAACCAGCGCGTAATTACGGGGGCGGGACCCAGTGATTGACATCTGCGGCCGTGAAAATGCAAAATCACGTGTATATATATGTTTGATTCTGCGCACAGGTGCTGCCCTGTAGCAGTATATCTGCTACAGGGCGGTCCTTAAGTGTTTACAGTAGTATGTGCACTACTTTCTCTACTTTAGTACGACTTTCATGCAACTTGAGTGCCATAGACTGCAATGTAAACTCAAACGTCCTATGAAAGTTGCACCTGAATGTTATACATACAACAGTTGTCCATTATCATTAATGAAAGCCAAAGTCATATACAAGTTGCTCCCATCCGAAGTTGTGTCAGACTTTGAGTCGTACAAGTGTGAATGGAACCTCAAAGCCTGACAACGCTGAAAGCTGAAAATTGCCCTGGACAGGAAGGAGGTGAAAGTGTCCGGTACTGAAGTGGTTAATGTGAAATCATGGCGGTTATACCAAAGCCGTTACATGGAGTACATTGCCAGCTCCCTTCATTACTGACTCCGGGGCCTTCTCAGACCATCGAGTTACCAGGCCAGTCTTCTAGGAATACCAGCACAGGTCTTGTATGAGCTCCCAGCACCCACCTCGGTCACATATCCCTCCGCCCGAACGCTTCTATTCTACCTCAGGCCTGTAGGGCGCCTCGTGACTACAACTCCCGGCATACATCGGGAGCGGAAGCGCACAAATGTGGGTGGCGCAGGTCGTCAGCTGTCAGACGTGGGAACTACAATGCCCGGCATCCTGTGCGGCCTACCCGCCTGACCCTCAACCTGACGCGTGCGGTGCGCTCCCGCCTCCTGAGCTCTCCTCGCGCTGTGTGTGTCCGCCGCGCGCTCCAGCCAGCAGTTCCCGTGCAGAGGGGAGACCGCCGAACGCCGACATGTCGGGTGACGACGAGCAGCAGGAGCAGACCATCGCCGAAGACCTGGTGGTCACCAAATACAAGATGGGGGGCGACATCGCCAACAGTGAGTGTCAGCGGGGTGGACGGCACGGTGCTCCTACTAGGGGAGCCGGCTGGAGGAGTCTGCACTCCGTATGCGGTGTCCTGCTCTCCGTGCTGTGGGGGAGGGGAGGGTGAGAGCGGAGCGCACGTGTCCCGCCTGCCATGTGCCTCCCCGGCATCCGTACATCCCCGGGCACCCACGTGTCTGCCGGGCCCGCTGTGTGGGGGAGCCCGCCTGATGGCCGGACAGGGCGCCACCATGTGATCGGATCCGGACACACTACAATGGAGGCTGTCACCTCTATGAGAGCCTAGTGCTCCTAGCACATCGTGGGGGCACTAGGACACAAAGGCCGGATCCAAGTTCTATGTGGCAGGATTAGAGCCCCTCTCGGGTCTTTACTGCTGTATGCATGGCAGTACACCTGATCGTACAATCTGCACATCGATGGATCAAAGTTTGCCAATTTCCACCATCTATGGCCGTTCCTTCTCAAGAGACATCGATTTATTGACCTACTGCTCTCAATCGGGATTGTTGGAAATTGTTTATTCTATTAGAGGCTTCAGTCAATCAGTTGCCCAGCTGACCAGTGTATTCTGATGGCAGAGGAATCCCCACTGTCAGAATACAATGACACAGCAGGAAGGATTCTTCCATCCACCTCGATTGTGTGGATGGGGGAATCTGTTTAGTTTTTTTCCTTCAATCAGCCCACTGATCAAAGTCTACTGATGTGTATAGCCTGCCTTATTTATGACCAAAACTATGGAATATGAGGACCGACCTATCCACTCCATAGCCAGTCACATGGATCTTTCCTTCACATAGTAGTTGTTGGTAGGTCTAAGCCCTGGTTCAACTGGTGCGGCTTGTCATGCGATTTGGAATCGACAAATTGCATGACAAGTCACACCCTACTGCAGACAATGGAACCATTCGTATTGCCGCTGCTCACATCACAGCTATTATGATAAAGGTTCCTGCGCTACTTTTTTGCCAGTTTCATTGCGACTTGCATAGACTTCTGTTATATGAAGCAGCAATGAAATTGGCAGTGCAAATCGCACTGATATGCGGCTTTGAAAGTAGCGCAGTTTCAAAGCTGCACCAGTGTTAACAGGGCCTAAAGAAGATTGTGTATATGGGCAGCTTAGTGTTCACCTAAGAAAAAATTGTACCAACACTGTACACCTACTTCTCTGTGCCCACCTTACCCCCGGTGGATGGTGAGCGGTCGGTGCCCGCTGTGCTTGCCCCCCCCGTGGAATGGTGAGCGGTCGGTGCCCGCTGTGCTTGCCCCCCCCCCCCCGGTCCCCCCCCCCCCCCCCCGTGGATGGTGAGCGGTCGGTGCCCGCTGTGCTTGCCCCCCCCCCCCCCCCCCCCCCCCCCCCGTGGATGGTGAGCGGTCGGTGCCCGCTGTGCTTGCCCCCCCCGTGGATGGTGAGCGGTCGGTGCCCGCTGTGCCCCCCCCCGTGGATGTGTGAGGGGTCGGTGCCCGCTGTGCTTGCCCCCCCCCCCGTGGATGGTGAGCGGTCGGTGCCCGCTGTGCCCCCCCCCCCCGTGGATGGTGAGCGGTCGGTGCCCGCTGTGCGGTGGATGGTGAGCGGTCGGTGCCCGCTGTGCCCCCCCCCCGTGGATGGTGAGCGGTCCCCCCCCCCCCCCGGTGCCCGCCCCCCCCCCCGGTCGGTGGATGGTGAGCGGTCTGTGTGCCCCCTGTGCTTGCCCCCCCCCCGTGGATGGTGAGCGGTCGGTGCCCGCTGTGGTGGATGGTGAGCGGTCGGTGCCCCTGTGCTTGCCCCCCCCTGGATGGTGCTTGCCCCCTTGCCCCCCCGTGGATGGTGAGCGGTCGGTGCCCCTGTGCTTGCTTGCCCCCCCCCCCGTGGATGGTGAGCGGTCGGTGCCCGCTGTGCTTGCCCCCCCCCCCCCCGTGGATGGTGAGCGGTCGGTGCCCGCTGTGCTTTTGCCCCCCCCCCCCCCCCCCGTGGATGGTGAGCGGTCGGTGCCCGCTGTGCTTGCCCCCCCCCCCCCGCGGTCGGTGCCCCCCCCCGTGGATGGTGGAGCGGTCGGTGCCCCTGTGCCCCCCCCCCCGTGGATGGTGAGCGGTCGGTGCCCGCTGTGCTTGCCCCCCCCCCCCCGTGGATGGTGAGCGGTCGGTGCCCGCTGTGCCCCCCCCCCCCGTGGATGGTGAGCGGTCGGTGCCCGCTGTGCTTGCCCCCCCCCGCTGTGTGAGCGGTCGGTGCCCGCTGTGCTTGCCCCCCCCCCCCCCCCCCCCCCCCCCCCCCCCCCCCCCCGTGGATGGTGCGGTCGGTGCCCGCTGTGGTCGTGCCCGCTGTGCTTGCCCCCCCCCCCCCGTGGATGGTGAGCGGTCCCCCTGTGCTTCCCCCCCCCCCCCCCCCCCCCCCCGCTGTGCGGTGCCCGCTGTGCCCCCCTGGTGCATGCCTTGACTCCTACTAAACTTCCATGAGTGTCAAGCGTTCTCAACCTAAGCATAACTAAAGTAATTAAACTTTCCCACCTCTCTTTCGGTCTTTGGGCATCTCATTTGGCCAGATGGGATGACGAAAATCCAGAGCTTGCACAGGAGTTGGTCATCCCAGCACATAGGGACGTGGCTAGCACTGAAAGCTGAGCTGTGTATGTGCAGCTCACTTTATATGGCCCTGGGAGGGCTACACAGTGAAGTGCACTGGAACAGGGATAGGAGACTAGGTGGCCTGCACTTGGAAGAGACGGTTCAAGCCTAAAAGAAAAACTTTGTATCAAAGTTGTCCTTTTATAATCAGAAAATATGGAGTGAATGTGACCTAAACTGTAATGAGTAAGGTTATGGAACTGACCAGTGGTCCAATAGAGGCATTTCAGTGTCTCAACCAGAAGGTATTGAAAGTGCTTGTGCTGTCATGTGGCAACGTGGTAATCCCAGATTTCCTTTGTAAAACACAAATTCAGAATTTTGCTATCACATGAATACTATTTAACTGCCCATAGACATGAGATGCCCTTACTGAAAATGGCAACTCTCACCTCTCCTCATTGGGGTGACAAGTCTTGATCGCCATTGTTTGCCCTGAAGTAGTTGTCAGCATAGGTCGCTTATCTCTCTAACCTCTCCAATGTCATAAACAAGAACAATTGGCCATGCGAGTGTCTGTACACACAAAGTTTAAAGTGTCAGAGTGCAGTTATGTCATGTCGGGGAAGGGGAGGGTTGATATTTACTACATTTATACAATACATGCACAGTTACCCTTGTTTTGCCTAAAAAAAAAAAAAACAAACAAACATACAAATATCCTTTGATCCTACCAGAAATTCAGTGCGCTCCTAACTTCCCGTTTGAGCTGTCGACTGTGAAAGATGAAGAAATGGTAATCAGCGAAAATACTAGCACCAAGTTCTGGAACTTGCAGTGGGTGACAATGGGTAGGGTGACTTTAATTTGGGGGTCTGTATGACACTAAGGGCAAGCTCCCAGAAGTACTGTAGCAGACTGTGTTGATGAGAGAAGAAGCGCGCCTCCAAGTGCAGCATAACACTTTCATTAAAGTCTTCTCCTTCTCTGAGCTGTTGACAGTGCCTGTGTGCTGTTCTGAAATCCTGAGCAGTGTTGTCCCCCCTGCCTGGAATAGCTTTTCTGGACTATAGAATACATACCCAGTATCCTGTGGGGGGGGGGAAAGGTTTTGTAGTCCACAAAAGAACATTAAAATATGACAAGACTGTTGTGAGTACTAGAGATGCCTGTACATGGCAGGGTCCTTCCAGACTTCATCACAACCCAATCCAGGGCCATTCTGACATGAAAAGCATCAATACTTCTGTGTTGACATATGCTGCCAAGCCCCGCATTCCAATTGGCCCATCGCTGTAATGCTAGGGCTACTGGGGGGAGAGGGCAGGCGTTGTTTTATTTTTGGTGAACATTTACTTTAAGCTGGTATGAAGGGCAAAAGGCAATGCTAGTCTTAACTTATCAGTGCCCACTTGCTGCCACATTGCGCCGCCGTTGTAGCCCTCTAAAAGGAATGAACTGTTTGGTTTACAGAAATGCTCCTTTTCCAACTGCTTAGCCCTGGTTCACACTAATGCACTGCGGGAAATGCAGTGAATCCTGTGCGTTTCCCGCTTTCGCACAGCGTCCATGTTATCTGGTATGGGTGTCGATGTTAAATTAACATCATCCCAAAACAAATCGCAAAACGCAGTGCGTTTACCAGAATTTGCATCGCATGGGTGTGAACACCTATGCAATGTGAAGCAGGTGCGGGAGAAAAAAAAACGACCCTGCTCCTTTTTGGTGTGGATGTGATGCAAAATGTAAGGCTCAAATCGCACCGCATAGACATCGCATGTGATTTGCACAGGAATGCGGTGCAGTTCCTGTGCGATTCTTGTGTGATGTGCTGTACCGTATTAATGTGAACCAGGGCTCAGTGCCTAGGTGACTTACTAGTAGGTAGTAGAACTGTAATAATGGGGGGGGATTCAGGGATATTGATGTAGGATCTTCTGGGGGCACCAGTAAAGGATTGGGGGGGCGGGGTAGGGTAGGCTTTACCAGGAGAGGTGGCACTATTCTTTCTTCACCATTGTAGTGCTGAAAATAGTTAATTTTTAAAATGAATCTGCCCAGAAACTACTTTATTTTGAAACTCTGCATTACCAGGTAGCTGACAACATTGACTGTAAGTAGATACCTCCAGTTGCCGGTATGTTAATGAGCCACCCTTGTCACCAGTTAGAAATATGTGCTCTTGATTTTTTTGGGGGTATCTTTTTGTGCAGAACTGTAGTTGTGTTCTAGTAACGTCTAATCCAGTTTTTTGTGGAAGCACATGACGACTGCTTGGTAAGCAAAACGTATAGTGAATATGCTGCAGCTATACATTCTGGAAGCTGCCCTTGGCATTATGCACACCTTTTTAGAGCACAGTTTTAGAATCTATTGGCTGGATAGCCCACTGTGATTACAATCGTGAGTGAATGTTGAATCATTGCTTTATACCAGACTTTTTTTCTCTGCCTGAAGTCCAACATGATGGGACTGGTCTTGATTGAAAGAAGTGGCCATAACCAAAGGTGGAGCTGGAACACGGAGCTATGCAAGGATGTGCTTGGTCTATGTGGACACTATATCTTTGCCAAAATTTAAAAATCAGGTTCCCGGTGAGTTCATTCACCTATCTGTAGGTTTCCTTCTCACTAGCATTTACCTTCAGAAAGGTACAAGCTGTCTGCAGTGTTTTCCATGGTGTTATCAGAGTCGCTCTTAAGTAACATGTTATTCATGACTCCCTGTCAGCAGGTACAAAGGCACCAGGTTTCCCTGAACTGAAGTCGTTCCTTGATTGCTATCCATAACATAACTCTTTAGTTGTGTAGCCGATGCTTTCTAGGTAACCCAAGCACTGTATGACCACCTAGGAATTTATTTTTTTTTTTTTTCTTTTTGGCCTCATTCACACTAGCTCTACTGCATTGTACAGCACTGAGCAAACTGTTGGCGCTATATAAATACTGTATAATAATAATAATTTACCTTTTCTAAAGACAGGAGAAGTTGTCTGGGAAGTATTCCCAGATGACTTTGCTGATGTTCCTGCTTATAAAAGCAGGTTTGGCTGGGTTTACATGTTTAGCAGCATTTACTTTCTCATTGAATTCTGGATGCACAGAATTCTATTTTCTCTGCACCTAACCTCAGTCAAACACTAAGATTGGATGACACATTAGAAAATCATTAAATGGCCGGTAAACGTGGGTTTAACACTGCCAGTGTGAATGATCCCTTAGACTCTTAAATTTTCTTCTTTAGCAGAATGTCAGGCTGCAAAGCTCCTGCTCCTATCCTTATCGCTAATGGCCACTCATCCTATCATAACAAATATGCTGTATGGATGACACAAAAAAAGGTTTTAGGGCAGGAGATTAGGTCAGCCTTCATGGAGATTGTATCTTGAGCTTTTTTGATCTGTTGGGGATAGATGATTAATACCGCAAACGCCTATCCCTGAGAGGCGAGATGGCACTAGTATTCAAACTTAAGGATGGAGGAGATTCAGATATTTACAAACTCTCATTCTTCACTGGTTTCCTTTTTAAATCATATTTCTGAGATTAAAAAAAAAAACAAAAACCTTGCAGTGGACCCCTTTCCTGCTCTGCAAGGGTCCACCGCTCATTAACTCTAGGGAGTAGAGGAAGAGGCTTTAATACATAAAGCAGAGTTCCAGTCAGTTTTGTGTTTATTAAAAGTCAGCAGTTACAGTTTTTGTAGCTACTGACTTTTCATAAACACACATTTACCTGTCCCTCGGTCCCGCAATGTGCTAACCCGGCTCCGGCCTTTCTCTGCCTGTTCTTTCCTCGGGCCGGCATCACAACTGTGGGTACCACTTGCGGCTTCACAGCCGGGTGCTCGCTGCACATGTGCAAGTCGCTCTGCGCATTCTGCTTGGTCTGGCAGTCTTCTGGGACCTGTGAAGGTTCCCAGGAGACTGCGGGAGGAAAGAATGGGCCGAATCTCCAACTCACTTTTACCGCAGCGAATTGAGCCGGAAGTGGGTACCTGTCAAAGCAGGTACCCACTCCCCCCCCAAAAGGTGCCAAATATGGCAGTCGAGCGGGGGAGGAGGCAAACAAGCGGAGCTTCCACTTTTGCGTGGAACTGCGCTTTAACCTCCTTACTCCTTGCTTCTTAGCTGTGAGCTGCCCCATGGTGTCATCGGGTACATTGTAGGGCTATTAGTCCTGCATTGTATGTGAGGAAGGCAATCTCAATTTGTGCCTGGGAGTGCTTTTATGAGCCTGTGGAGAACTGGTCACACAGATGTTGGGAGGAATAAGGTAAGTATTATAGCTCATTCCTCTAGCCTTCTTTCACATGGATGTTTTACCACACTGAATCCCAGTGGCAGGAATATATCAGTTGTGCAGAAAGCAGCGTCCACTGAGCCAGTTACGTCAGTGACAAGTTGTTGGTGGTCCCAGCTGTTTGTGCCTGCTCACACAGCTAGCAACCACCTTCCGTTCCTCATAGTTTGTCATTGAAGTGTATGGGCTTGGTGGCTGCTGCTATCCCTGCGGCTGAGATTTGCAGTATGGCAATACACCCTGTAGTGCTTTACCGCTAGAGTAGAAAAAAAACAATGTTTACGGTAGGGGGGTCTCCACTGCACTGAATTTTTTTTTCTCTTGTGTTTGGAGATGGGCTTTAATACATACATTGGCTTTCAGCTACAGGAAATTGGCGCTGCCAGGGCAGCCAGTGGGGGACCTAAGAAGAGACAGATCGGGGCTGCTCTGTGCAATCAGAGCAGGTAAGTATAAAATGTTTGTTTAAAAAAAAAAAAAAAGACTTTACAATTCCTTTTAAACATGTCTGAAGTTGTTTCAGTAAAGGAGGCGTCAAAGGCTAACAAAGCTTTCAGCTGTTGGTGAGTGCTTCATAATTGGGTGTGGTGGTTTTATCATAGAAGTCAAGCCAACAGTTCTGCCTTCAGCTGTTAATTGTCGAAAGGACTGATGAATCCATCTGCGCATTGTAAAATTGTAATAGTAACTAACTCGTACACCAAACAAATCCTTTTTAGTCGATTTTATGGACATTTTAAGCAATTGGCTAGACATTTTAGTTTGATTTGCTTTTGAAGAGTACCTATTGTACCATATAGTTCATGTAATTGACAAACCATTTTAGAATTCTCAAATGTGTTTCCCTAAGGTTGTTTTCCCCTCAGATCTTGGCAGTTGTTCAGTCCAGATCTGGAAATGGATAGTTGTGCTACAAATCTTACTCCCATATTTAAAAATAAAAGGCTTAATCTGGCCATAGGTTAGTGGGGTTTTTTTTTTTTTTTTTTCAGCAAGCTGAATGAAAAAAGTGAGATGAATGGAGGAATCCTGCCTGCTGGGACATTTGCTTTTGACAGAAGGACTCTCCACTGTCAGAATACACTGATCAGGGGCTGCAGCTGATTGGTTCCAGCTGTTGATCGGAAAAAAAATATTTCCAACATTCCCGTTCAACAAAAGTTGATCTGACTTCTGTTGAACAGAGACAGTCTGTTCCAACTGAATTTCAGTCCATATATAGCCAGCAGTGGAACCCCACCCAAAAAAAAAAATTTTGATATGTACATCTCAGATTCATGATATAAACTGTTCTAAAATACAGCTATAATTCGGATTTAGGAGAATGTGCCTGGGGATCCTGCCAGCGTGTGCTCCAGGTGTGTATTTCCCTTCCATATATCAGGTCTCTCTGCACTGGTCTGTTGAGATCGCTGATGTCAGAACTCTGCGTTCTACAAATCCTGACATTGTCTGCTAGGGACATCTTGCTGAGTGGGAAAGTATCCCAAAAGTTACAGCCTCATGTTTCATAGCAATGACATAAGGGCTGTAAGCAGGACCCACCACCCAGAGAGGAAAAGCTTCAGCACTGTGTCAGCAGTCACATTACTGCAACTAAAAATGTCAAATGTTTGTAGGCTGATTTATTATAAAAAATGTGGTTTTTGTTAAAGTGATAGTTTGTGTATGTACTATATGTCATCTACTTTTAGTAGCTTTGAACTTTGACAGTATAAGGAAAGTAACATAGAATGTAGCATTATGAAGGTTTTTATATCTTTTATGTTTAATGCATATTGATGCTTTTTACAGTTGTGTTTTTTTTTTTTTTTTTTTTTTTTTTTTTTTTTGCTGTGGATATGTACTGAAACAATTTTAAACCAGCAAGAAATTGAATAGTTAAAGTTAAAAAAGCGATGGATGCAGAATTTACACATGCAACATCATCTCACTCTAGAAGTGGTACATACTTATCACTATCTTCCCATCCTGTACCTACAGAGGAGTAGTTGTTTTGAAGTGTTAGTTTGTTTACCCTTCATCAATATGGCTCATTGAGTCAAAGATGCCAGTAATCTTGACATGTTGCCTAAGACACAGCTACATGAATCCTTTTTTACTTTTTCTGTTGCCCTCAGAAAAAAATGAATGGCCTTCAGGTTGTCAACTTTGTTTTTCTTTGTTACTTGGTTTGACAGGCTTAAGTGGACCTACAAGGAGTTAATTATATACTGAATATATTGTCCTGAAATTACTGGTTTTGTAGAATAATAAAGCTGTGCATGCAGACTCCCACACAAGATGGCAAAATGCTCAATGAATGCGCTCCGCTCACTCTTATGAGAACATTGTAGTCCTCGAAAATGAAGGTTTGTCAGCTAGTTAACCTTGTGACTTTATCTGTTTTAGGGGTCCTTCGTACATTAGTGGAGGCAGCTACTGCAGAGGCTTCCATCCTAAGCCTCTGTGAAAAGGGAGATGCTATGATAATGGAGGAAACTGGCAAAATTTTCAAAAAGGAGAAGGAAATGAAAAAAGGTACTCGAAAGCTACTTGGATTACAGCACAAATCTCTGCAATGTGTGATCCGCAGTCTAGACTTATGGAGTGCTTTGTTTTTTTTATTTCAGGCATTGCCTTTCCAACAAGTATATCTGTTAATAACTGTGTGTGCCACTTCTCCCCATTGAAGAGTGACCAAGATTATCTTCTAAAGAATGGTGATCTAGTGAAGATGTAAGGAGTGACAACTTTGTGGAACAATGTGTATGAATATGGAGATGTTTGTTCTGCAAACTGGATATTCTGGGCATGTCTCTTAAAAATACAGTTCTGAGTTTAATGTATTTAGCTAGATGGTAGTTCCTTGTGTATAATTCAAAGTAAATCTGTAGTCTTTTACCTTAATAATCTGGCAGCTATTCAACCATGGCCCACTAGCGGGCAAGAGGGGGTGGCTCAAAGCTTGCTTTCTAAATGGGGTCAGTATTTGCCTATCCTGGGTTTAGGGTGTCCAGGTGCTCTGTTAAATAGCTGACATTACCTGTAGGCACCTAAAATGTAGATTGAAGTGCCAGTTTATTATTATTATACAGGATTTGTATAGTGCCAACAGTTTGCGCAATGCTTTACAAAATGAAGGTGGACATTACAGTTACAATACAATTTGTTACAAGAGGAAACAGAGGGCCCTGCTCGTTGGCGCTTACAATCTAGGAGGAAAAGTTGAGTGATACAAAAGGTAATAGCTGTGGGGGATGAGCTGATGGAGGAAATAAATGGCGGTTTACTAGGTAGAAGCAGAATAGGCTTCTTTAAAAAGAGTGGTTTTCAGATATCGTCTAAAGGTGGATAGATTAGGAGACAGCCAGACAGATTGGGGTAGGGAGTTCCATAGGATGAGAGAAGCTCGGGAGAAATCCTGGAGACGAACATGGGAGGAGGTGACACAGGAAATAGAGAGCAGAAGGTCTTGGGAGGATCAAAGAGAGCGGTTTAGTTGATATTTTGAGACTAGGTTGGTGATGTAGCTGGGGGCAGAATTGTGGGTGGCTTTGTAAGTTGTTAGTATTTTGAATTTTATTCATTGGGCGAGTGGAAGCCAGTGGGAGGGATTGGCAGAGGGGGGTAGCAGACACTGAACAGTTGGTAAGGTGGATGAGCCTGGCAGCAGTATTCATGATGGACTGGAGGGGGGATAGCCTATGTAAAGGTAAGCCAATGAGGATAGAGTTGAAGTAGTCAAGGCGAGAGATAACCAGGGAGTGAATTAGGAGCTTTGTGGTATCATTGGTTAAAAAGGGGCATATTCTGGAGATGTTGCAGAGGTTGGGGGGGCATGATTTGGACAGTGATTGAATGTGGGCCTGAAAGGATAGTACCCTGGCATGCAGGGATGGGTTGATAGTGGTGCTATTGATCCTGACTGAGAAATCAGGGGAAGAGGCACGTGGGGGAGGAAATATGAATTCAGTTTAGATTGAGTTTTAGGAAGTGGTGTGACAACCAGTCTGCTGTGTCCGTTAGTAAATACGTGAGGAAACTGATGGGGTGAGCTGAGGAGTAGAAAGAGAGATTTGTGTGTCATCAGCATAGAAATGGTATTGGAAACCATGGGAAGCTATCAGCTGACCCAAGGAAGAAGTGTAGATCGGGAATAGGAGAGGTCCAAGGACAGAACCTTGGGGGACCCCAACAGTAAGAGGAGGAGGAAGTAGCGTTGTAAGTGACACTGAAGGTACGGTGAGATATTTAAGATTCAAACCAAAGGAGAGTACAGTAGTTTTTTTTGAGGAGGAGGGGGTGGTCAACTGTGTCAAAGGCAGTGAAGAGGTCCAAGAGCAAGACTATGGAATAGTGACCATTGGTTTTAGCGGTTAGTAAGTCGTTTGAGAGTTTTAGGAGAGCAGTTTCTTTGGGGTGTTATGGGCGAAATCCAGACTGAAGGGGATCGAGAAGGTTATTTTCAATAAAGTAGCAGCTCAGCCAGTTGTACACTTGACGTTCAAGGAGTTTGAAGGCAAAAGGGAGTAAGGCGATGGGTCTTGGATTGCTACGATTGGCGGAGTCCAGTGTGGCTTTTTGTATGGGGGTGACTAGCGCATGTTTTAGAGAGTTGGGGAAGATGCCAGTAGAAAAGGAGAGACTGAAGATAAGAGTTAAAGCATGAAGGATCGTGCCAGAGGGTGACCGTAGTATTTGCGAGGGAACAGAGTCCAGGGGGCAAATGGTTAGGTGGGCTTTAGAAAACCGTTTACCAGTATAGATTGTGCAGGTGGACAAGGAGTGTAGGGTGAGGGAGAAATCTGTACAGTGGAGATCTCGGCACAAATTGTAACAATCTTTATTTTTTAAATGATTATCGATCTCCTGGGCAGTGAGTGAGTTAGTGGGTGGAGGTAAAGGACGAAGTAGAGAGTAAAAGTTTATAAATGGTAACATAGATTACAGGTACACGAAAACATATACTCTGATAATAAACTAGCAGTAAACAGCAGTTACCATTGAAATCAATGTGATAATGGCTAATTTTGTATTTCAGTGACTTGGGAGTCCATGTAGATGGCTTCATTGCTAATGTTGCCCACAGCTTTGTTGTTGGTGCCACCAAGGTAAGGTTATGTTTGTTCTGATGGGTCTGCAAAGCAATTATACTGTTTTTCAAAGACTGCACAGTGGGTCTTGCGTGGAAGCAGCTTCTCTTCTGTACAGTGACAACAAGGAGTCGCTCAGCACTGCCATCATTCACCAACTGATTTGTATTTTTTGTTAATGAATGCAAGATGTTCTGTTATTGGGCAGAGATGTCACAATCTCCACTTTGTCTAATCAGAGACAGCTTTTGTATTCATTGTTTAGTTTCAAAATCTTCCCTGTCCTTCACTTCCCTTGTTGTGTATGCATAGTCCAGTGTCTTTGACTTTACTAAAGGTTCAAAATAGAGAAGAGAGACAGTGGCACCATTCTAAGTGTAGATTGTTAAAGGCACACATGTTTTAATCGCTTAAATGCACTCACAAGAGTAAGGATATAAAAGGCATGTCATGGTAACATGAGAGGGTCCAGTGTACTGGTGGTCCTATGCAGTGCTTTTGGTTGGTACCTGCCACTCTGGTTTCCAGGGCTCGGGGGGTAGCAGAGAGGCGCAGCGAGGATCACACAGGGCGTGTCACAGCACAAGCTGGATTTCCAAAATAGCACACGTTCTGGGCATGGGCATGCTCCTTCCTCAGGCCAGTCCAGTGGCCATCTTGGTGAAGGCTTAAATGGACAAGGCAGGAGGGGTGGAGCGGGACTGCTGATCCACCCACACTCAGTCACATGGGATTAGTGCTCACTAAGAGTGCCAGATGTAGGGGGAAACGAAGCGTAAGACATGCAGCAGCAATACATTATCAAAAGATACAGAGACAATACTTACAATGGGAGCAGTGTCGCTAGTATAGCGGACCAAATGGGTCCTGCACAGGTTAAAAAGCAGTAATAATGATATACATATGAGTAGATAAAGAAAATAAATTTTAAAAATAAATTCAAAATAAAAATTGCAATAAAATTAGAAAAAAAATATATAACGGTGAAGATCCAGAATGTCTCTTTTGGCAGAGGCGTTTTTGAAACGTTCCGCTTGGGGGGGGGGGGGGACCTCTGGGGATGGTTTATATTACCCATACTCAGATTTGCTGAGGACTGGAAGTGGAATTCAGAAAAATGTTTGGAGATGCTCAATTTTGTTTTCTACCATATGCTGATCTCACGTGTTCACCAAATCTTTGGCGTCCTGTTCAGATGGTGCGGCCAACATAGAGGAGGTCAGAGGGACAGGATATACTAGAAATTTGGAGCAATTGTAGAAATCTTCTAAGTTGTAGGTTTTTTTCATTGGTGGAGAACTGTTTTTGACTATGTAGTACATGTTTGCAGGTAAGGCATTTAGGTTTTTTTACGCTGGTACATGCCTTTGATGGACAAGAAGGTAGGCATGGAGTTAGTGGAGGTTTTCACATTTTTTAATTTGCAGGGGGATCATTTTTCATTACAGGCCTTTCTATAAGAATACGTGAGTGCATGTGGAATGGATGACTTGAGGTGGGGGTCCTCATGAGGCTTCCCCAGTGTTTGCGCAGAATCTGTTCCATTTTACGGTGGTGGGTGTGGAACTGTGCTGTAAACTGTAGTGGTTGGGGGTTGAGCTGGTTAGTATTATGAGCTGAGTTTATGGTGGGGAGAGGTAGTTAGAGGGTAAAATGCCTCTTGGACTAGTGATTGGGGGTAGCCTTTTTCCAGAAATTTCTGTGTGAGTAGCTCGCCTTGTGTGGCGTAATCTTCCTCATGTGTACAGTTGTCTGAGTCTGCAGAATTGGCTTTTAGGGATGTTGGATATCCATCTGGGGTGGTGGCAACTGCGGAAATGCAGAAAGGAATTGGCTGCTGTGGGCTTGGTGTAATTTTTGGCATAAATGGAAGTGTCTACGTAACAAAATTCTAGGTTTAAAAATGCCAGGGAGTCAGGGTCACATAGGGATGATGTGAAGGATAGACCTAACGTGTTGGAATTACAGTGGGTGACAAAGGAATTTGCTTCGTTGAGTGTGCCATCCCCAGATGACAATGTCATCAATGTAGTGACCGAAGTAGATGAGGTTTTTGGCATAGAGATTGATTCCAAATGGACTGATATTCCCAGAGGCCCATGGTTAGGTTGGCGTAGCTGGGTGCAAAATTGGCTCCCATCACAGTGCCTTGTATTTGTAGATAACTTCCGTCCAACAGAAAATAGTGTGATAGACAATCACAAACAAGCCCAAAATGGCGCATGCTCCGAACTCGTGCCATTTTGGAAATCCGGCTTGTGCTGTGACATGCTCTGTGTGATCCTCCTTGCGCCTCTGCTACCCCCTGAGCCCAGGAAACCACTGGCTTGACTGGTACCAATCTGTCTCTCCTCTATTTTGTGCACAGGAGTACCTACAAGCTTTTGGTTGCCGACTCCCACAAGGCTGCACACCTACATAACCTCTGTCAAAAATTTTATTTAATGACATTTGCCGCATGGACCTTTTTACTATATATTAGTGTGGTCCATCCCTTACTGGGTTCCTCCAAGCGCTCCCTAACCCCCCCTGCACAGACCTTTTGTTTACTAAAGGTTCAGCTTGTTTAAAAAAAAAAAAATAAGTTATACTTGCCTGCTGTGTGCAATGGTTTTTGCAAAGAGCCGCCCCAATCCTCCTATCCTCAGATTCCCTGCTGAGACTACTGGACCCCCCCCCCCCCCCCACTCCCCCCTTCTGAGTGCCCCCAGAGCAAACTGCTCGCTCCTGAGCCACCTCTGTGTGTCCGTAAGACAGTGCTGCTCAGCACTGCCCACCACTCCCTCGTCACTGGCTCTGATTGATTGGTTCCCGCTGCTGTGTCTCTGCCAATGAGGAGGCAGATACCAGGAGACCCTCTGCTCTTTTGCACAGCGCTTGTTTGGGCTCAGGTAAATATTTGGGGGGGGGCTGCACACTGAAGGTTTCTTACCTTCAAGCATAGAGTGCATGAAGGGGAAGAATATTCAGCCTTTTCAACCACTTTAATGGAAAGCCTGTCTACAATCTGTTGGTTTTCTATGAAAGACTAGGCGGTTTGGGGTCCAGAAAGGAAAATGGGGAATTTTTTATAGCTAGTTTGTATGGAACTGTAAAGTGCACTTAGTGTATATTCCGTAAAGCTGAATTTATATAAAAGTGCTCAGACCGGGGGAGTGAGCTACTTTTATCTGGATACAAAAACAGCCTCAGAGGTTCCAACATTCTCCTACTATGGTAAAATAAAAAATGAACATTTGTAAATCATGTTTAAATCGATATAAAGCAGCAAAATCAGTTGATGTAATTTTCTCTCAGGAGGACGGATACTAAATAAGCAAAAGTTGCTTCTCTCCCGAGCTTTAGCTTAGATTTCTAGCAAGTTGAACACCATAGACTCTAGTTCTAGTGTACTATGAAGATCTTGAAGCGGTAATAAACTCTGCTTTTGAACTTGTACCTACTGGTAAGCCTGTAATAAGACTTACCTGTATGTACCGTGACTACCTCCTAAAACTTGTGGCGTTTAGGAGATATTCACACTGGATGCAGCCGGTGACATCACAGGTGCATGCACTCTGAAGGGATGGCTTCAGAGCTCTGTGCCTTAAACTGTAACTCCTGTGCACAAGCGTGGGAGTGATGTCATCGCGGCTCAGCCATTCAGAGAACCTGAGCCAGCAAATCCGGAAAGAAGACCAGGGGAAGGTGGAATCCCTGACAGCGCACTGTTGGAGGGCTTCATTCCAAAGTAAGTATTTCATAATGTTCTAGTATATGATGCATGCTAGCACATTGTGCCATTGCCTTGCAGGGGATTTTTTTTTTTGAAAGGCTGCCATTTACTACTGCTTTAAAAAAAGAAAAAAAAAGTGGTGGTCAGGATTTCTTCTTGCAGTGGCCTCTAAGCTGCTCCTTTCGGCACCCAGTGTCACATTACGGAAGACCAATTTGAACCATACCAGAAAATTTACATAAATAGGAACCTGACATCGTAGAAACATTAGTGCTACCTTTACTGACTTAAAGCTAAACTCTGGGCACAAAATGTTTAGCTAGTTGCAGGCCTTGGGTGTGCTATACATAGCCAAAAATACTTTATCATTTGTATATAGGGCTTGTGTAGCATGTCCATAGTCTCTGCCTTTTAGGACTCCCCTCCCCAGTACCTTAGCTGTTGGCTGTGATTTAAAGCTGAACCCCATCCAAAAGGGAAGTTTTGCTTTAAGGATTGGCACCTTTTGCGGAGCTGGTACCTGATTTTGACAGGTACCCACTCCCACTTTCACTGTGACCACCTAGGCGATCTGAAACGGAAGTTGTCCTCCCTCCCTGTAGTCTTCTTAAATTTCATCTCTGTACAGCATTGCATGACTGAGCAGTTGCCAGTTAAAATAACGCAGTACCGTATCGCAAAAAAATTGTCTGGTCCGGAAAGGAGGGTAAATCCTCTGGAGGGCAAATAGTTAATATTAAAGGTGCATAGTCTTGGGATGTCATCCTTTATGTCCTTTATGTCCTTTACTACCTGATGAGTCCCTGACCTAGAACAAGCTTGTATGGGACAACTTATAAAGCTTTTTCCATGTCAGTGACTTTAAATGGGTAAGAATGAGAATGACATCCCTGGAGCATGCACCTTAAAGAAACAATTCAACATATCCCTTATATTTATTTTGACAGATATGCTTTTAAGTTATTTTGTCTTGTTAACATGTTAGTTATTTTTTTTTTTTTTTTTTTTTTTTTTTTTTTTTCCCCCTGTCCTGTGATTCAGGAGTCTCCGGTGACTGGCCGTAAAGCAGATGTTATTAAGGCTGCTCACCTCTGTGCAGAAGCTGCTCTCCGCCTGGTGAAGCCAGGAAATCAGGTATAAAATTTCTTGAGGCATCTTAAACTTTACTATTTATAAACTATGTGTAAAAAGAAATACAAAATTATTTCATTACATTGCATGAATGTGTATATATAAATAGCAAATGGGGTAGTAATAGGCATATACAGTGGATATAAAAAGTCTACACACCCGTTTAACCACCTTCCGCCCGCCCTATAGTACAATTACGTGCGCATGGTGATTCTCTCATTCTGATAGGACGTCATATGACGGCCTACCATTCTCACTGCGCATGCGCGGCTCAGGGAGCACGCAGCGCGGCGATCGCCGGTGCACTGTGTCCCTCGGACACAGCAGATCACGGAAAGAGCCGAATATGTCGGCTCCGTCATGTGATCAGCTGTGTCCAATCACAGCTGATCACATGTAAACACGGAAATGCCGGTTATCGGCATTTCTCTCCTCTCAAGCTGTCACGCTGAGAGCTCGAGAGGAGAGCCAATAATCGGCTTTCTGCGGAGGGGACATGTACACTGATCATCAGGGCACTGATGATCAGTGTGCCCTGATGATCAGTGCGGCCCCAGAAGTGCCACATCAGTGCCACGTGCCAGTGCCACATAGTGCCAGTGCCACATAGTGCGTGCCAGTGCCATGTATCAGTGCTGCCTTTCAGTGCCCATCAGTGCAACCTACCAGTGCCTCCTCATCGGTGTGTCCATCAGTGCCCATCACTGCAGCCTCATTAGCGCACATCAGTGAAGGAGAAAAATCACTTATTTACAAAATTGTATAACAAAAACTTTGAAAAAATGTGTGGTGTGTGTTTTTTTTTTTTTTTGTTTGTTTTTTTTTCTTCAAAATTTTCAGTGGTTTTTGGTTTAAGAAAAAATAAAATTCCCAGAGGTGATTAAATACCACCAAAAAGTTCTATCTGTCTCAAAAAAATGATAAAAATTTCATGTGGGTACAGTGTTGCATGACCGTGCAATTGTCATTCAAAGTGTGACAGCGCTGGAAATTGGCCTGGGCAGTAAGGGGGTATAAGTGCCCTGTAGGTTAGTGGTTAAAATGTCAGGTTTCTGTAATGTAAAAAAAATGACAATGATAAATCATTCCAGAACTTTTTTTCTACTTTTTTTTTTTTTTTTTTTTTTTTTTTTTTTGTGACCTATAAACTGTACAACTCAATTAAAAATCAAACTGTAATCTTTTAGGGGGGGGAAGTAAACCTAAAAAAACTAATGTGGTTGCATAAGTGTGCACACCCTCTTATAACTGGGGTGTAGTTGTGTTCACATTCAAAATCATGTTAAATAGGAGTCAGTACACACCTGCCATCATTTTAAAGTGCCTCTGATTAACCCCAAATAAAGTTCAGCTGTTGTAGTAGGTCTTTCCTGACATTTTATTAGTCACATCCTACAGAAAAAGCCATGGTCTGCAGAGAACTTGCAAAGCATTAGAGGGATCTTATTGTTAAACGGTATCAGTCAGGAGAAGGGTACAAAAGAATTTCCAAGGCATTAGATATGCCAGTGAAGACAGTAATCAAGTGGAGAAAATATGGCTCAACAGTGACATTACCAAGAACTGGACATCCTCCCAAAATTTAATGAAAAGACGAGAAGAAAACTGGTCTGGGAGGCTATCAAGAGGCCTACAGCAACATTAAAGGAGATTCAGGAATATCTGGCAAGTACTGGCTGTGTGGTACATGTGACAACAATCTCCCGTATTCTTTATATGTCTGGGCTATGGGGTAGAGTGGCAATAAGGAAGCCTTTTTCTTACAAAGAGCCATCCAAGCCCAGCTACATTTTGCAAAAACCCATCCGAATGAGTTAGGGTTTGATGAAACCAAGGTTATATCTTTTTGGAATTATGGCCAAAAAACTTGTTTGGCGCAAAAACACTGCACATCACCAAAAGAACACATACCAACAGTGAAGCGTGGTGGCAGCATCATGCTTTGGGACTGTTTTTCTCCAGCTTGAACTGGGGCCTTAGACCAAGGTAGAGGGAATTATGAACAGTTCCAAATACCAGTCAATATTGGCACAAAACCTTCAGGCTTCTGCTAGAAAGCTGAACGTGAAGAGGAACTTCATCTTTCAGCATGACAACAACCCAAAGCATACATCTAAATCGACAAAGGAAGAATATTAAAGTTTTGGAATGTCCCAGCCAGAGCCCAGACTTGAATCCGATTGAAAATCTGTGGGGTGATCTGAAGAGGGCTGTGCACAGGAGATGCAAAAAACACTCCAAATCTGTCAGATTGTGAGAGCAAGGAAGAGGGGCAAATATTGCCACATCGAGGTGTGCCATTCTAGTAGACTCATACCCAAAAAGACTGTGCTGTAATAAAATCAAAAGGTGCTTCAACAAAGTATTAGTTTAGGGTGTGCACACTTATGCAACCATATTATTTAAAAAATTTTATCTACCACTTAAGATTTTTTGTTATTCAGCTGAGTTGTACAGTTTATAGGTTACATTAAAGATGGAAAAAGTTCTGAAATTATTATTTTTTTTTTTTTTCCCCATCACAAAAACCTGACATTTTAAAGGGTGTGTAGACTTTTTATATTTACTGTACAATTGCTGCACAAGCCATATTGTAAACGAATGTTAAAAATTACCTTTTCAATCTGCAGCATTGTAATTTTCTGTAAAATTCTATTGAATAGGGCAGCCTGGAGGCTTTTTGTACACAGTTGGTATTCAGAACCTCCCCAGAAATGGTGCCTCCTGATCTCCCAATCCCCCCCAGAAATCTGCACTAAGATACAAGTCACATTTCAGGCATCCTCTGCAACAAAAAAAAAAACTTTTTGGTTATACTGCCAAAGGGTTAATTGTTTATAAATGAATTCAGAACTTGCAGCTTTCCTCATTAGAACACTTAATTAAAATGTCGCTCCTATTCGGATACACCCTGCACATTGACATAATCAAACAGGTTTTTCTTCAGTACAGAAACAGGAGTCTGCCACAAAGTTTGTTAATCCTTGCATCGTATGTTGGTCACCCAGATGTGTGTTTTCAACAAAAGTGGAGTTACTCTTTAAGAAAAAGTCTAACAGTAGATAGCCTTTTGAGATGGAAAGCCCTCATCAGTATGGACAACATACTGTTCCAAAAAGTAAAATCTCCAGAGTCGGAAATAGTAGATGTTACTGCTGCCTTTGAAGCAACAATGTAATTTCGATAACAAAAACAGAAGTTGCAAGTTTACTTGTTACCTAGAGGGTGCCTACAAATGTCAGAATAAGTGAACAAATTCAATTTACTACACTGAGAAGGCCCTAATGTCATCCTTTACACTGACAGGAAAGTAAGCACCAGGGTGCCAATGGCCCAGTCTCCCTGATTGGCAGATTTATCGACCCACACAACACTGGAAAACTACTATGGCCCTATTATGACTGCAGAGTTCCTGGAATATGTGGTAGTATTAATTTGCTAAATTAAAAGTAAATAGACGTGAGCGCTCCTAAAAGTAGCTGCTAAAACACCAAGAGGTACCAATAAAAACTCTCTAAAAGTATAGATAAATAAGTGGGGTAGCGCTCAAAACAAAAAATATGTCCACATATATAAACGCATGTGAATGTGTAAACGGATATAAAGTCTGTATCAAGAAGAAATATAGCAGATGAACTTGTGACTCCAACCAAAAGTGAAAAATGCGCACTCTCACTGGAAGCGCATAGACAATGCGCATACATACATATATAAATTTCCAGAGTAGATTGGCCAATCCGGTGAACTTTATCCTATGGTGCAGTCATCAAGCCCTTGGAGAACGGTGTTGAATCCCTTGACCAGGAGTTCCTTCTTTAGGCTAAATGAGGTAATCAGCCTGGATACGGGGCTCCTGTTCCTCCAGATATGTTGGATACTGACAGGTACCTGTGGGCCTAATAGCTCCAAATAGGAGCCATAAAAAAGGTGCCCATAGTGTAGTATGTTAATGAACCTTTATTTGCAGTACCACGTATCACAGACAGGGTAAAGTGATCTACAATAAAAAAGCACTATACCTTCATTTAAAATAGCCGCCCGGGCTTCAATCCAGCACCAGGCGGCAGAAGTGTGCTGTACTGTCTAGTTCCTCCTGAGGCCTTTCGTGCAAATAGCACTTCATCAGAGGGAGAACTAAACTCTCTGAAGTGCTATTTGCAGGAAAGGCCTCAGGAGGAACTAGACAGTACAGCACACTTCTGCCGCCTGGTGCTGGATTGAAGCCCGGGCGGCTATTTTAAATGAAGGTATAGTGCTTTTTTATTGTAGATCACTATACCCTGTCTGTGATACGTGGTACTGCAAATAAAGGTTCATTAACATACTACACTATGGGCACCTTTTTTTATGGCTCCTATTTGGAGCTATTAAGCCCACAGGTACCTGTCAGTATCCAACATATCTGGAAGAACAGGAGCCCCGTATCCAGGCTGATTACCTCATTTAGCCTAAAGAAGGAACTCCCTGGTTAAGGGATTCAACGCTGTTCTCCAAGGGCTTGATGACTGCACCATAGGATAAAGTTCACCGGATTGGCCAATCTACTCTGGAAATTTATATATGTATGCGCATTATCTATGCGCTTCCGGTGAGTGCGCATTTTTCACTTTTGGTTGGCGTCACACGTTCATCTGCTATATTTCTTCTTGATAGACTTTATATCCGTTTATGCATTCACATGCGTTTATATATGTGGACATAATATTTTTATTTGTTGAGTGCTACACCCCACTTATTTATAGTATTCATTTGCTGTCTCTGTTGGGGACTGCATTTTACCACATCTCTTCACACTCCTCCGTCATTCTTATTTCTGTTCCAGCCTTAGAAATTCACTCTTTTTGGCTTTCTCTGCTTTATGAACAGTTAGTTAAGGATTTCAGGTTAACAAAGTGAAAAAAGCTGGCTATGCATTGCATTTGTTAGTCCATCTACAAAGCTCTTCAAATGTGTAATGTTTCATTAGGTAGTGCTAATGGGGCACTGAGACAAAGCGATTGCTTCCAGTCACTGACTAACGTACTGTCTAACATATGGCTGCTAGTTACTGAAGTGTTGCTTGTATGCAAAATGCCAGAAGTTTGACACATTTTTTTCATTTTTAGAACACACAAGTAACTGAAGCATGGAACAAGATTGCTCCTTCTTTTAACTGTAATCCAATTGAAGGTATGTAATGCATGTTACAATTTTCTACTTCACACAGGAAATTTAACAATTGTCCATAAGAGGCATGTGCTGTGGGGTTCGCTGGAGCTGAGGTATATGCAATACTGTGCTTGGAAATCTAGACACCGCATATACGTTGGCCAAACACAGCGCTGGCAGCTGCAGTTTGCATGCATCAGACAAGCACTACGCTAACTGCCTCTTATATGCATGCACTAAATTTTTACCTCTGAAGAGTCCATTGGCACTGAGAACACCTGAAGCGCAAAGGGCGTGCTATTTTTAACAAAAGCATAGATTTCTTTTAAGAAAAACCATTCTCATTCTGTCCTTGGGGAAATAATAATTAGAATTGAGATGTTCATATTGATATGGCAAAATTGTATTCTTGCGAAGACATTGCTAATATGTTCTTTCTGTGTACTCAACCACTTATGAGCTCCAATGTATGATGTGTTTGTGTTGATTGCTACAGTTTTGTAAACTATTCTATATGCTTTGCTGAAGGACAAAATAAAATTTATAAATATGAAAAGAAATGCGATGTCTTACATCCATTTGTTTTCATTAACCACTTCCAGTCTGGCCCATGTACATAAACAGCTGGACGGGAGCAGTGTAGGAGCGGGTGGCCGTTCATAAACTGCGCCTGCATTTACAACCTGTGCCCGCTCCCTGGGAGCTCGCAGCACCACGATCCAGAACACTGATTGCTGTAAGGGATCTCTGTGTGAGGTCCCTATCATGTGATCACTGATTGGCCAATCAGTAATCACATGAATAGTAGTAAACAAGATGTCACTTCCTGACATCATTGCTTACTAGTTGTGAAATCTGACTGATCAGAGGTCACATGGTACAAGGCTATTCACAACAGCCTTGTACCATATGACAAGCTGTGACCAATCACAGCTCTCACAATATTTCTCAATGGCTGTAAGAATGCAGCCAGAGAGGAGAAATGATTGCTTTTACAGCCTTTATGAGTGTAAAAGCAATCCGTATGGGGAAAAAAAAAAAATCTTTATCACCCCCCACAAGTAGTACAGTATCACTATGGTGACACTGTACTGCTAGGGTGACAGTTTTTTTTTTTTAAAAAAAAAAACATTAATATAATTAAATGTAAAAAAAATGTGAAATTTTATCATTTTTTGATTATAAACTAATTTGGGTTATATTATATTTTTGTTTTTAACTAAAGAAAACTGAATACATTTTTTGCCAAGATTTATGAAAGGATTATTTGCAAAATTTTATAAAACTTTTTTTTTTTTCTCAATTTTTGGACTTTTTCATTTATATAGCAAAAAAAATCCCAGTGGTGAATAAATACCACCAAAATAAAGTTTTATCTGTCTCAAAAAAATGCAAAACAAATAATATGGGTACAGTGTTGCATGACTGCGCAATTGTCATTCAAGGTGTGATGGCACTGAAAATTGGCTTGGACAGGACGAGGGTAAAAGTGTCTGGACTTGAAGTGGTTAATATATTCATTTTTGAGTAATAATTTTTCTAGAGTTGCAGAGGAGAATGGGATATGAATTGTATCAGATCCTCAATATTCCATCCTTGTATTAACTTGATGAGAGATTCTAGGTCTATTAGGCATTCTAAACTGAAGCATTGACTTGGGCACCATGTATGCGGGTGTTTAGCCATGCTTCAAATCCCCTGCAGCAAGAATCTACAGATTCCTGTGACCGGGATTGGTAGCTGTGTGCTGATACCAGCAGCTGCTGGTGCAAGTACAGGCTGTTGGCGGCTGCAGCTATTTTGTCTGTTTGTAAAGCCAGCAGTTAGTTTGCAGTGATCTTTGTGCTGTAATCACCACAGGTAATCCGCTGGCTGGTGAACAGGCATGCTGCTGTCAATCCCACCTGCAGGACTTGCTAGGTGCTTGCTGCTGGGATTTGCAGCGTGGCTCAACACCTGTTCCGAATGGAGCCTTATGGGGAAAGCTATTTGGCATTCAGGCAACAAGCGCAAAATAGCTGGAAGCTGTCAGGCAGTTCAGAGCGTGGCACTACATACAGAGATGCAAGTTGCACCCCTCTATAGTAAATGGGCTTGGCTGTTCAGTTTGAGGCTTTCTCAAACATTGCACATTTTTATATATATATTTTTATATTCGTTGTAAGTAATATTGTGTATTTCACTCTAGGAATGCTTTCACATCAGTTAAAACAACATGTCATTGATGGAGAGAAGACCATCATTCAAAACCCTACTGACCAGCAAAAGTACGTTAGGACAGTTATGTTTAGTGTATGCAGTATTTGTTTTAATGTTTGGCCTATTGTAAATTGTGCTACCTTTGTCATTTTTACCCATTAGCATACCTTGAAAAGGATGGAATAAAAATATATCTTTCTACTGAAGGATATTCAACAATCCGTTTCATAGAACCATGCAGTTTTTTTTCCTTTTTTATTTGCGTGTGCTCTCTTCTTCTTTTTTTTTTTTTTTTTTTTTTAACCTTTTTTAATGCATTTCTTGGTTAAAGGTAAAATTTGTTGAAGTTGCAGAATGCTGCCTCACCCCCCTTATGTTTTAGCCAAATCCTCAAGAAATCCAGGGCTGTGCCTGCTGCAGCAGCTGAGGCAGTTGAAACCATTGGCTCCAGCTGTTGTCCGTCATAGGTTGTGAGGGGGGGGGGGAGAGGCCGAGCAATGCTGTCTTTGTCTATGAATGCAGACAGCGCAGCCTGGGCTGGAAGCGAGCACGCTTGTGTCCTCGTAGCCTGTGAGTGGGGGGTGAGGCCAAGCTATGCTGTCTTTTTCTATGGATGCAGACAGTGCAGCCCTGGAACGAGCCCACTTTTGCCCTCATAGCAAGGACCTTGCTATGGGGTAGCACACTCGGAGCCAGGAGCTATAGCAGGGGACCTATGAATAGAAGATTTGCAGCCACTCCGTGCAATTCCATTGCACAGTGCTGATTTTAAGTATTTTTGTAAAAAAAAAAAAAAAAAAAATTATAATTTACAATCACTTTAACTAAATTAAGTTTCTTTTCTGGTTTATCTATTAGGATGAATCAATGCTTCACCCTTTTTAGACCAGCCTTTCTCAATGTTTTCAACACAGAGGAACCCTTGACATAACTTTCCGTTCTTGGGGAACCTCTGCTAAAAATGACTTGATCTACAATTCATGATACATTAGTGCAGGGGTGGGCAAACTTTTTGACTTGAGGGCCGCAATGGGTTCATATATTGGACCCGGGGGCCGGACCAAGAGTAGATGAATGATGTGTATGTGTCATCCATAGTAAGTATAGTAATATTCCCCCATAGTAAGCATAGTAATTCATCCCCCCTATAGTAATTCATCCCTCATATAGTATTTCATCCCCCACAGTACTATTCCCCCCCAAGTAGTAAGCCAAGTCCCCCCTGTGTCAGTTCACTTACCTTTGCTCCGTGCGTTCCTCTCGCCGTGTTCCCGCGCCGTTCCGGTCTTCAGGGCGGACTGTGAGAGGAGCCTAGCTCCCCTCACGTTCCTCACGCTGCCCCGCCTACACACATTCTGACAGCCGATGTTTGCCACGCTCCGCGGGCCGGATTAAAAGGTCCGCCGGGCCGTATACAGCCCGCGGGCCGTATACAGCCCGCGGGCCGTAGTTTGCCCATTGCTGCATTAGTGTGATAGTCGGAGGTAAGAATGCTCCTTACACTTGCGGTCGTTGGGAAGAATTACCCCCTTACAGATTGCTAAAAAGATCATTGGTATCAGTGGGAACTTACCTCAGAGGCAAAAATTGCTCAAGGAATCCCTGGCAACCTCCTGAAAGAACCCTGGTTGAGAACCTGCTTTTAGACCCACTCCCAGGACATTTGAAAATCCTGGAATTAAAAAAAAAAAAAAAAATGTACATTGGGACCTGAAAACATTATTCCCCTGTTTTGGATTCCATTTATAATTCTTAAAGGGGTGGTCTGTCAGCCCCTAATCCTCGCCTGTATTTTGTAGCCTCTGAAATGCAACACTTTTCCGGTTGGGACTTGCAGGGAGCCAATTTCTCGGCATATATGATTCTTAAGCTCTGTTTGGAGGTTCTAATTACACTCAATAGAATTTCTCCTATACTCTAAAACCTACTCTCCGTGTCCCGCAATTTACACCTCATGGGGAAGGTTTGGGCAACATACAAGTGCACACGGCAAATGGCAGGCCACATAAGACTCAAGCCATGAGACCTGCTACCAGAACTAGCTAATCTTTCACCTATGGAAGGCAGCTGACATTACCCAGCTTTATGCAGCTTCCAATTTTAAACTTTTTTTTCTTTAAAAAAAAAAAAAAACTTAATCGTAGAGTAGAGGCTGGATATTCACAGACCAAAAATGTGATTGAACAACAGGAAAAGCTTGGCTGGGCATACCTTATAGGCATACTCCTGTAACATCACCTCTGTCCTCTAGAGAAGTTTTTCTTGCATAGTTTTGTCTTTATTAAATTTAGGGTTAATCAGCTTTTTGCCGCTTTCTATCATAAAAATGGAAGCAATACATGTACCCAGACCCCTTCTATAACGCTTGCCTGCAATGTTTCAGGCACTGGATCCTGCTTGTGTGCTCACCTTGCGTAGTTAAGTGCCAGGTACGTTACAGGTCTAGGGCCATGGTCTATTACTAGAACCTGAAGAACCCCCCACCACCACAACAGGCAAAGTCTCTAAACCGTAAACTTCGCATTGCAGATTGGGCTTAATTTGGACCTGCTGCTCCACTCTTCTGTAATATGTCCATATTTTCTTACCCTATCTGAGGGGACATAGGAGGATGCATGTTACTTTAGGTGGTGAAACAAACTTTGCTTTCAGGTAGCAGAATGCTAGTAGTGAAACGGGTTTTGAATGTGCCCCCCTATGTTGGGAGAGTGGGTTATAGTACTTGATAAACTTCTTCCAAAAAAATCACATAAGCTGTGTGTGTGTGGGTCGGGGGGGGGGGGGGGGGGGGTTGTGTAGCACAGTTAATAGTAAATAATTGGATTCTGAAGTTTAGTGTATGTGGAGTTATGATGCATCGAGGTAAACTGCCTGATGGTTAGCGTTTTGGGGTTCTGATATCTATGTGAGAAAACAGAAGGTGAGGCTAGACAAATGACATGCATAACTGTTGCTGTATGAGTTGATGGAATAATGCACTTCTGAATGTCTCCACTATGACTGGTATTTACTCAATTGTTGTGTACCTCTGCACCATGGCTTTATTTTCTGTTAACTTGTAGTTGCATTAAGAAACAAAACCTTTTGTGTAAGTAAAATCTCAATAGGGAGTGTAGACACTTGCCTCTTCCTCAGAGCCACTTCCTCGAAACGTGTTAGCCTATTGGGATGTCTACACTCCCTATTGCAGACTGTTACTCAGCACAGTGTTGACTATGCTGTTCTTTATGATGTGCCTTGACTATATTGTCGTTTGTGAGTACAACACATACTTTATTTCTTATTAAACATTTTTTATGGTAATGCACTAGGCCTGTGCGCCCTCTGGTTGTTGTTTTCTCATTCAGTATATTTGGATTTCCCCGGTCTGTTGAGGGCAGCAAGGTGTGCATGTTCCAGGACATTCTTAATGTGGTTGTAGCCTGCATCGAGTCCATCCCCAAGCGCAGAAGCATTTGTTTGCTGGTTCTTTGTAAATAAAATCTGGTTTAATTTTTTTTTTTTTTTTTTTTTTTTTTTTTTTTTTACAATTTTAGGAAGGACCATGAAAAGGCAGAATTTGAAGTTCATGAAGTTTATGCTATTGATGTTCTTATTAGCACTGGGGAGGGAAAGGTGAGTTATGTTGGATGGTATTTTTAGGTGACCCTGACCTTAAATATTTTATAAGGCAACAACAATGCTGAAGTGCAGGTACCTTTTTACCCTAGGCCAAGGCGATACATGGGGCAACATCGTCTTTGTGGCCTCAAAATCCAGAGCCTCTGCTGATCACCGAGGTTCAGACATTTAGGACTTGAGTGAGGGTTCTAAGCTTTTTATTTTGGGAAGTGACTACCGAACGTCTGCTTGGGCAGAATTTAAAGCCTCATGTACGGCCTGGGCCTAGCATCCAAAGGGTTCCACAGTGGTAGCTATGAAGACTAATGCAGGTATGCACACAGTGCTCTTGCACATCAGAGCTGTTACCTTCGTAAATATTTAGGCCAGCTCAGGTTTTGTTTTAAATTGAAGTAATCCAAATTATGTGACCTTTATTGCTAATGTACAATTTATAATCCTTGAATTTAGGCTAAGGATGCTGGACAGAGAACAACAATTTACAAAAGGGACCCAACTAAGCAGTACGGACTGAAGATGAAAACCTCTCGTGCCTTTTTCAGTGAAGTTGAGAGACGTTTTGGTGCCATGCCATTCACTCTTAGGTATGGTATGCTCTACTTTTTGTAAAATTTTAAGCTGTATAATGTAAAACTGCATGTATAAATTACTGGGCACATAACTGATCTTGTTTTTGTTTTGTCCTGGAACATCAATGAAGGAAGCTGCACAAATTGTCTGTTCTCCAGCTATGTGCACTTATTTCCTTTGGGCTATTTGCTGGATGCAGCTATCAATGTTCTTTGAAACTTTTGCTGACCACTGTATGATCTCTCTCTAAAAGCTCAGTTCACACCATGTGCGTGTGTTAGAAGTCATTCCTTTTCCTGTTTCCTAGATAGAAATTGCTTCTACTATGGAAAGCCTTGTGATTTCACGGCTAAAATATCTGTATGCAAACATTAGTTTTGCCTTTTAAATATCCTTCAAACACTATGGAATCTCTCATCCCACATCTGGAAAGAAATCTAAAACTTAGTAAAAAGTTGGGTTTCATTATTCAAACTTTTACAGGGCGTTTGAAGATGAAAAGAAAAGGCAAGAATGGGTGTGGTGGAATGTGCAAAGCATGAAATTGCTCCAAACCGTTCAATGTACTTCTATGAAAAAGAAGTGAGATTGCAAACTACATTTTTTATGTGGTATGTTTTTGTATCCTTGCATAATGGGTTTGCTGTGGCGGAAAAGGGCATTTCTTATTGGCTACCTGAGCACAATCGTGTGACTGCTCACGGAATACTTTTTTTTTTTTTTTTTTATTCTGCATTTTTATACATTTCATCACAGCTTTTCCTTTTTTAATTTGGCATAAAAAGTGCTTGGTGGTCAGGCTTTAAAAACAAGAAAATCAAAAACGCCCGAAAGAATTACCAAATTATAGATGTGTCTTGGTTATATGTGGAATCCCCACTACAAAGAATCCATATAAATGAGGTTGGGGATTGGTACCAACAATCTAAATTCCAAATTAAAATTGAAAAAAAAAAAATTCAGAGGGTAACACCTAATACAAGGTGACAAAATATTAATCCTAAATCTCCTAATGTGTGAAGTCAACCTAAATGTCTGAATAAAACAAAGGTAATGTACTGTTGTAGGACGTACACGAGTTTCCACTTGTGAATGACAATAAGCAGCCTTGTTGAATTTAACAAGCACCGACCAATTTGCAGCCTCTTACTCTCAAAGACCCCAACTTATAGTTGGTCATATAACGGCATGTTAACTGGTAAAAATCATCCATCCACAGCTTTGGCGCCATATGGGATATAACAGCAACAGGAGTTGGTTTCAGTGGCATCAGCAGGGGATCACTGATTTTGCACATCCACTACCTGCCATGTTAGGAGATAAGCTACCATAGTGCAAACCGCATCTCTCCTCTGCTAATAAATATTGATCTATTTTAAAAAAAAAAAAAAGGGTTGGGGGTTAAAAACCCCCATAGGGGCTTTAAAATCCCCCCTTTCTCACCCATCATCCCAAAAGGTGGGGGTTTTTCCCCGGGGCGAGTACTGGGGGGTTTTTTTTTTTTTTTTTTTTTTTTTTTTTTTTTTTTTTTTTTTAAAATTTTAAAAAAAGTGCAAAAAGGGGGCCTTTAAATTTGAAAAGTTTTAAAATTTCAAAAACTTTAATCGGGGTAAAACCCCCCCCCCCCAAAAAATTTTTTTAAAATCAAAAATTTAAAGGGTTTAACATTTTTGGGAAAAAAATTTAAATTTTTTTCCCCCCCCTTTTTTTGGGGGTTTTCAAAAAAAAAATTTTTTTACCCCAAAATTGCCCGTTTTAAAGGGTTTTTCCTCCCCACACAAAACCCCCCCCCAAATTGGGGGTCCCCCAAATAAAAAATCCCCTTTTTTAAAAAAAGGGGGGGAAATTTGGGGAAAATTTTTGGGATTAAAAAAAAAAACTTATTTCCTTAGTTATTTTTTTGTTTTTTTTGGGGGTTAAATTAAAAACACCTTTAAAAAATTTTAAAACAAACCCTCCCCCAAAACAAATTTACAAAAAAAGGCCCCCTTTTCAAGGGGCAGGGGTCCCTTGGGGGAAAATAGGGCTGGACAAAAAATACTGTGGAACCCAAAAAGAAAAACCCGTATTTAATGGGGGGGTTTTTAAAAAAACCCCCCCTTTTTGGGGTTTCCCCCTGTAAAAAGGTGAAAAAGGGGGTTTAACCAAGGCGGGGTTTTTTGAAGTGGAAACAAAGGGGTTTTTGGGTGCTAAACCCCCTTTAAATAAAATTTTTTTTTTTGGACATTTGGGGTTTGGGGAAAAATCAATTTTTTGAGAATTTTTTTGCCTTTTTGGGAAAATGATGACCCCCTTTAATTGGGGTTTTTTTTTTTTTTAAAATTTTTTTTTTTTTTTTAAAATTTTATTTTTTTTTTAAAAAGGCCTTTTTATTTGGGGTTTTAAAAAAAGATATTTTCCGTAAAAAATTTTTTAATTTTTTTTTTTAAATTTTGGAATTTTGGGGGGCCCGATTTTTTTAAAAAACTTTTTGAAGTTTTCTGGGGAAAGTTTTTTTTTTTTAAATTTGTTTTGGGGTGGCCCCAAAAAATAAAGGGGGGCCCGGGGAAGAAAGGGCTGAAACCGGGGGGAAAAAAAAGAAGGGGGGGGAGGAATTTTATTTTTAAACTTTAAACACCAAATGAGACATTTGGGAAAAATGGAAAATTTTCAAGGGGGACGTTAAAAGGGTATTTTTTTTTTAAAAAAATTTTTTTTGATAAAGGGTTAAAAGGGGGAAAAAAACCCCTTTTTCAAATTTTCATTTTTTTTAAAATCATTGGTTTAAAACCCCAATGAAAATTTTCCCCCCAGTTTAAATAAAAATTTTTTAAAATTTTGTTTTTTTTTTTAGTCCCCTTTTAACATAAAACCCCAAGCCCCCAAGCCTTAACATCCAGGGGTTTTTTTTTTTTTCTTTCCCAAGGGAAATTTTTTAAATTTTAAAAAAAGGGAAAATTTTTTTTTAACTTTAAACCCCTTTAGGCTTGAATAACCTTTTAAACAAAACATTTTCCCTAAATTTTTTATTTTTTTAGTTTTAATCCCAATTTTAAAATTTTTTAAAGGGAAAATTCCCAATTTCAGTGCCGAAAAACCCGAAAAAGAAGAAAAAAAGGGAAAAAAATTTTTTTTGAATTATCCTTTGTAAGAAATTTCCCCCTTTTAGAATGGTTTTTTTTTTTTTTTAAAATTTTAACCCTTTTTGAAAATTTTTTTATTGTAAAATTCAATGCTTTGAAATTTTTAAAAAATTTTTTTTTATTTTTTTTATTTTTTAAAATGACTGAAATTGTTTTAAGAAACTGGGTTTAGTTTTTAAAAAAACCACATTTTTTGCCCCGAACCCTTTTCCCCATTAAAAAAAGGCTTTAAAACCATGGTTCAAAAGGGCTTTTAAAAATTTTTTATAACCATTTGGTTTAAATTTTCCCATTTATTTTAGTTTTGGGGTTTTTTTTTTTTTTTTCCTTTTACCCCCAAAAAAAAAACAATATCCCTTTTTAAATTTTTAAAAAAATTTTAAATTTTTTTAAAAATTTTGGCTCTAAAATTCTATATTTTTTAAATTTCTGAAATTATTTAAAAGAAAATGGGGTTTTTTGCGTAAACACCTTCCCCCCCCCCAAATTTTAAAAGCCCTGGTTTGTTAACCATTTAAAACAAAAAGGCTTCAAAATTTTTTTTTTTTTCAGCAAGTTCCCTTTTTTTAAAAGAAATTTTTAACTTTAAATGGGTTTGGCTTCAAGAAGTAAATTAAAGCTTTTTTTTAACAACCCCCCCCCCCCCCTTTTAAATTAATCCAAATGCCCCCGCCAATTAGGCACCTAAAAAGGAAAGGGTTTCTGGGACATCAAAAAAAAAAAAGCCAAAAAAAAACCGCTAAATCCCCTTTTAAGGGTAAGATGGTCCCTGTAAGGGTGTACCAGTTTCTTCCACTATGGCTTACATCCTGCTATCCAAGGTTATGGTCACGGTACATCTTTGAGCTGCAGGCAGTTCCCAGTTCTCAGCTATGCTTTGCTGCAGAATTGAGGCATGCTGGTAGTGGAAGGTGTTATCCTGAGCTGCCTACATTTTTATATTTATTTATTTTGCCAGTATCCAATCCTCCTGTAGGTTTAAGAAGAACTCCGAAAGATTAAAATTTTCCTTCATCCCTCAGTGGATTACAAGAAAAGGATTTCACAGAAAATACAAAAACCCTATTTTGCTCTAGTATTGGTAGACAGAATAATATGCTCAGCAGAGGTTTGGTTGGGTGACTATCCTCCCATGTTCTTGGGTAGCTATAAATAACAGCAAGACCTCTGAAGGTGAGATAAATGGTGATCAGTTGTGTGTGATATTTTTGGCTAGCTGATATTTCTTCTAGAATTGACTGATTACTGCTTCTGTCTGGATGTAAGCATGTACACATAAATAGATACAGTTTAAATGTTTTCCGTCATCCTCTGTCTATGGTCAATCTAACAGTACTTTGTAAACTTGGCAATTAGTGAAAGAACGATAGCTGCTGAAAATGGGTTCATTGGTTCTGAGTTGCCATTCATATTGTGGTGTTTAATTGTATTTTTGCAGGCTTCAAAGAATGCAGAGCAAGCCACTGCTGAAGATAATGAAGGCACAGAGTGAGGAAATCTAGTTCTAAAGGTGTTTGACTTCGACCTGCCAGTTTATTTTTTTAGTACCTGCGTTTTTTGCCTCTCTCTCCCCTCTCCCAACGAAATGAATTGAAACTGAAAAAAAGGGCTTTGTTGGTGATCTAACAGAGTACTAGCGGATCCAGGGCCTCCCCCCATCCTCTTTGGATACAAACATGGACGCGGAGGGAAAGACCTCTTTGGAATTCACACCAGACTACTTTACCAAAAGAATATATATAAGTACAACCAATAAAATCAGGCATATAAACCAGTCTTAAGACCTCTTTCTAAAAGAATTTTGATATTTTGTAGGATTGGGACAGTCATTATTTAAGTTTAAAACCACTGCTGTCACAAAATTTGCATCATTTTGGTCTGTTATTGACTTTTAAACCATAAGTCTATTTATCATTCCTTTGCTATTCTCTACCATTTCTTGATTGTTTTCTAAAGCTTTGTTTCTATTACTGAGAGAGGGACCTTCAGTATGCAGTTTGCAAGACACGCAGTGCACCTCAAATTTTGTGAACGTTGGAAATACTTTATGTATTCAAACTGAAGAACAGTGCTTTTAACCAGTGAATCCTTGACCTGGTGGTACCGTAATCCTGAAGCTTGTACTGCACTTGCAACATATCTGGTCACATCCAAGTGTATTCTTGCTGATACCAAAGTGTATTTCCAATTTGCACATAATGACAATGCCTCCATCTAGTGCACAGAGCATTTTGTGGACATTTCCTAAAGGTTTTTTTTTTTTATACTGGCCAAGATAAATAGCCACTCAGCTTATAGGAAATTTCTGCTTGCCTGAACTGGAATGGTTTTTTAGGATTGCTGGGGCTAGAGTAAAATTCACTTTTTGCAAATCAGCATTCCACATGTGTTTAGTCAGTTGAGCAGACATTCATCAGACATTTTTTTTTTTTTTTTTTTTCCCCCCTGGTTTTCATGTCCATTATTTATGCACCTGTAGGGTTGAATTCATCTGATACTGTACATGCACGTACAAA